CTGGGGAAGCAGTAGGAGATGGTGAACGGGGTTTGCGGGGCCGGGCTTGGAAGCGTTTTCCAGCCGACGGGTGTGGCTCCACTGCCGCTCTTCTGTGGAGTGTGCCAGGCTCTGGTGTCCCCCAGGCTCCGGGGTCCCGTGGTGGTGTGGGGTACCATGCGAGCGGGCAGGCCGTCAGAGCAGCTGTTCTGCTGCGAGCCGCGCCCTTGGGCCCGGTCAGCGCCTGCGTGGAGCCCTGCTGCCGGCCGTGCCTCCTGTCTGTTAAGTGACGTGCTTTTCCTGAGCACGTGGCCGCTGCGCCTGTCTCTTACTGTGCTGTTTCCTAACAGTCTTAAGGCGCTCCTTAGATACGGCTCTACTGTTGCTCTCAGTGTTTTCCGGGGTGACACAGATGGAAGCTGGGATGGCGTATTCTTTTTTTTTTTTGAGAGAGACTTTTGCCTTAGGGCGCGTGCTCTCGCCAGAGAGACAGAGAGAGACAGAGAGGTAGAAAGCGAGAAATCACCCCCCCAGGGGGGATGGCCACGCCGCAATCCCTTCTCCTCCATTCTCCTCTCAGGATCTTGGGCATGCAAGCACATGTGCCCGGCATGAGTTTTAAGCCACCGAGTCTGGGATGCGAACTGCGGTTGACTACGTGGGAGTCCAGCAACGTAGCCATTACACTAACTGCTGGTTCCCTCACTCTTTTTTAAGAGAGATTTTGTTGTAGGGCAGTGTGCTCGCTGGAGAGACAGGCAGAAAGCGAGAAACCACCTCCCCCAAGAGGATGGCCAGGCCACAATCCCTTCTCCCCCGTCCTCCTCTCAGGATTTTGGGCACGCACTCATACGTCCCAGCTTGAGTTTTAAGCTGTCGGGTCCGGGACTTGAACTGCAGTTGACTACATGGGAATCAGCAACGTGACCATTACGCCACCTGCTTGTCCCTGTGTGCTCGCTCTGCTTTTCTCTCCCCGTCGTGTCTGTTACACACTGAAGTGGTCCTCCGTTCTGCCTTTTTAAAATTTGGTGAGACGGCAAAAACCGTGATTTATATCTATTAGACTGTGATGATAGGAACAGAGTTTTCGTTATAATCAAATGACTCAAAGCCCTGCTGCCTTTTCCAGTAATATCCACAGGCTGCTCTCACTCACTGAGGGAACGAGGTAGGTGGAGAGTCGTTAGGGTGTCACTGCTGGTGCTCGCGTGAGACTGAGCGTGCACAGATGGGGTGTGCTGAAAGCCTTCTTTCTCACTTCCTGCCAGGTGTCGTCCGAAGACAGAAGCGCCCTGTGGGCTTTGGTCACTTTCTATGGGGGTGACTGCCAGCTGCACCTCAATAAGAAATGCACCCATTTGATTGTTCCGGAACCAAAGGGGGTAAGCATGAGAAAGAACCCGACTCTCTGCCATTGAGATGTTTCCAGTAATTAAATGTCTTTTTTGAGTTTCTTTTAAATGAAACGTTAGACTTTATTTATACAAGCTGATTTATATTGTTTATATTATTCATATCAAGCTTTATCCTACAAAAGATGTAAGGTGATTGTTAGTTATATAATGAGCCAAACATGTGTTCTAAATATGAAGAAACTTGGCTTTACTTCATGGGAAGAAATAAGGAAGTTTTTTTAATGTCTAGATTTTCTTTTCAAATCCAGTAAAACTTTGGTTCATTTTTACTTGTGGAAAAAGGAATGTATTTTTAGTTCCCTTCACAGTTTTCGAAGGGCCTTATACACATGCACCTGGTAAAGTTGGGCAGCGTTCTTCCTAATGCCCGGAACGCACAGTGCTGTCTTAGCGCAAGGCTGCCACCCCAGAGCACTGATGTGGCGTTAGCTCTCGGTTCCACAGCGGAGGCCCGACATCATCGCGCTAGCTTTGCTGCTGACTTGCTGGAGATGCCAGCTGTCCAGCCCTCTCCCAGACTTTCTGAGGCAGACTTGGGTGGGGAGAGGGGCTCCCACAGTCTGATGAAGCGTCTGGGTGCTTCTGACGCGTACCAAAGTGAGAGGGCCACTGTTCTATGGAGAGCAAGTTTTTTTTAGCCTCCCTTGAACTACTTTTTGATAATGATGAAAACCAAGTTGAGTGTATTTATAGTGGAAAAGTCGTTTGACTAGTTCATTTTTCCACATGTTGGTCATTACCTTAATTTTTTTCCCCCACAGGGAACATATGTTTCCTGGAGGGGGAGAGAGAGAGCGAGTGAGCGAGCCCCCCTGGGGGGTGGTCATGCCACAGTCCTTTTTCTCCATCCTCCATCCCTTCGGAATGTGGGGCACACTCACACACGTGCCTGGTGTGTTTTTCAAACCCCAGGGTAGGACCCTAGCCAGGGCTGGCCCTGTGGGATTCGGCTCCCTGCGCACAGCACTGAGTCATGGCCCTCCTTCGAGTTCCTTCTTAGGGCTCCGGCTTGAACCTGCACTGCCATCGGGGAGCTTCGTCCCAGGGCCCCAGGTCAGAAGGCAGGGGCGAGCATGGAGCAGAGGCACTGACCGACCGAAGGGATGGCTTGGCGTGGGGTGCGGGCGAGAGGGTGCTGATGCAAGCCTTCCCTGCCTAGGCTGTTCCATTTCACAGGGTCTTTGCAGCTGCTCAGACGTGACCCCTAGGTGTGCGTCGTTCATCATGCTGTTTTCTGAAAAGCGAATTTTGAGCTGGTGTGCTTGGTTGTAACTTAACATTAGCTAATGGACATGGATAGTCCATGAAGAAACCTTTTCTGGAAATGTGTGATGTAAATTTAAATAAAAAGTTTTTATTTTGCATAATAAGTAATAAATAGTATGCATTGGTTAAATACTTAGCGTAAGGATTCTTTTTAATTTTTTCCTCTTTTTTTAATTTGCCAGAGGGCAGAGAGAGAGAAAGTCCCCATGGAGGACAGCCACCTCTCGTTTCCTTCTCCACCTCTCCTTTTGGGATTTTGGGGACACTCGAACATGTACCTGGTGTGTGTTTTGAGCCCCCAGGCCCAGGGCTCAGCCCGCACTCAGCCCTGTGGGGTCCTGCCGCGCTAGCCGCCCTGGCACTGGCTGGCCTGTGTAGCTGAGGATACTGTTTTGATCTCACATAGCTCATTTGAAGGGGCAGTTGAAATTATAGCTTTTAACTGGGTAAATACTTTGAAAGAGTATTGGAATATAGTGGGTTTGTTAAAGCTGTTTTAAATTGTGGTTTGACTTTTTAATTCGAAAGACCCGTGTCATTTGTGACGATCACACACAGCCTTGATGGCCTGCTTCCCCCATCCTCAGGGTCGGGTCAGGGCTGGGTGGTGCAGTGGCCAATGCCATGCCCTGAGAGCCTGACCCACGTGGGAAGGTTCTGGGTTTGGGTCCAGAGACCTCCTGAAGCATGCCAGGCACGTGCGTGCCCAGGGCTGATGGAGGCTGGGGATGGATCGGAGTGTCAGGACCCTCTCGTGGCGCTGTCTCTGTCTCTCTTACTTGTGGAAGACATTTTTAACCAACTCTCATTAGATTTTTGAATGAGATAGAAATAACCATCCTTGGATTTTTCCTCCCCCGCCTCCCCCGTAACTGCTTTCTTGAAAAATTAACTTATAGGTCAAACATCCCTATTCTGAACATTTGAAAATTTGAAAACTGAAATGTTCCAAAACCCCAAATTTTACCAGAGTGCCACCATGGCCTACAGAAGATTGCACAGCACACCTCCTGTGACACATGTGTCAGAGGTCGCTGTACAGAAATGCTGTCCGTGGTTCATGTGTACGCAGGAACTCCCTGCTTCAGCTCGGGTCCTCTCCTCGAGAGGCCAGAGTCCGAGTACTTTTGGTCCCAAGCATGTGGATGAGGGATACTCCACCTGGACTCCATAATCTATTCAGACATAAATTTTAAAATGCTTCATTTGTAAATTTTATGAGTGCTAAATATACTAGCTGACTACACATGAAAACATCAGGTCACTGGGGAGTCACGACATATTTTCTATGCAAAAATGCACCATGACTCTCCAGATGACCCAATAAATGACATTTCTTTTTAAATTAAATAACTGTTCCTGCAGTTTTGAATGAGCATATAGAAAGTGTTTGTGCAAATAGATAAATACCTTTTGCTGCCCTGAATTCAAAGTTTCCACGTAAGTTGAGAAGATCGGGGGTTACTGACGCAGGGAAGTCACGGGAACCAGTACGGTTGTTGGGTGCCGGGCAAGGTGGCCCGCGGTGGCCTGGGCTGGCCCACCCCTCGTCAGTGCCGGCTCCGGAAGGCTCTGACACTTGGGAAGGTATGGAGTGGTCCAGCTGGTCACGGGCTCTGGTCAAGGCAGTGTAGACACTGCTCCTCCACTGTCATTGAGAGTGGCCGTCGTTCCGGGACAGCCACCAGTGATTCTGTGAGAAGCAGGAGGGGCTTAGGGAAGTGGGAGCTGCATGCTGTGGAGGTGCGGACTTGGGCCTGAGGGCTCCCGTGTGACGAGCGGGGCAGTGCCTGCGCAAGCCGGAGCGCGAGGAGCCCGCCGTGCTCCCGGCCTCTGAGGCCAGACGTCCTCTTCAGAATAGCCATGTCTTCAGTGCCTCCTCTTGGTCGCATTCATTTTATTGTTTTGTATTTATAGGTCACTTTATTTCCCATTTCATTATTTTATTATTTCAACTATTTCTTTTCAGAGAGATTTTTGCAATAGGATGCATGCACTTGCCAGAGAGACACAGAGACAAGGTGAGAAGTCACTCCCCAGAGGAATGACCACGCCTCAGTCTCTTCTCCTCTCCTCTTCTCTCAGGATCTTGGGCACACACACGTGTGCACATGCGCCCGGCGTGAGTTGTAAGCTGCCGGGTTTGGAACTCGAACCGCAGTTGACCACGTGGGAGTCCAGCGACATAACCATCACACCATCTCCTGGTCCCTGTTTCAACAAGTATCTTTGTGCCTTAGAAAGATAATGTATAAATTACAATTTTACTTGGCTGTTAGAATATGCATATTTACAGTAAGTAGTTTGTAATTACTGGTGTACATCTTGGCTCCTTATTTTCCTTAAATTCCTCAGGTCCGTTTGGGATGGCTGGTCTAGAAATTGAAAATCCCTTAATTTGCTGTAAAAGTGTGTCATCTTTATAAATAAGAATGACAGGATATTTAGGAGAAAGAATAAAAATCCCTGTATTTAAGAATGTGAGTGAATAGCTGTTTGCCGACACAGCCGATGCGAGTGTAAGTCAGCCTGGCCTTTTCTGGAGCCAAGTGTCGTTACGGACAGAAGTCTTACTCTGTTACTTTGCAAACCTGAGCACAACACCCAGAAACACATTGTAAAGTTTGACTCGTGTCCCGTAGTGGCCAAATTCTGGAAGTAAGCCAGTGCCCAGTAGGAGGAGGTGGACTAAATCTCACGCCTTGTGGAAAGCCGTGCTTCGGTTCAAGCGGCTGGTACAACGTTCGGGTTCCGGAGGGCCAGCAGATGCTATGGCATTAGGTTGCTGGACCCCACGTGACCGGCCTCATGATTGGAGGTCCGGACCGGCAGCTTGAGAACCCTGCTGGGTGTGTGCGTGTGCCAGAATCCTGAGAGGAGAGTGGAGAAGGGGCTGCGTGAGACGGCTGGGGTGCTCGAGTGAGGCCTGGGTGAGATAAACCGAGGGTAACTTCATCAGTCGTGGTAACGGCGGTGGCTGGAAAAGCCTGTCTGTCAGAGACGTCCACTGTCATGGAGGAGTCGGGGGAAGCAGGGTGACAGGCACAGGGGCCAGGCACGGGTCAGTCCACTTTGAGCTGCATGTGAAAATGCACATTAAACAAAAGTTATGAAGAGATGCTGGCATCGAAGGACACGCATACTCACATAGGAGCTCACTCGTGGCCTTCTGAGAGAAGGCGCGTGGAGTAAGGTCTTGCACGCTGAGGCTGTGGCTCCTCCCCTCCCCCTCCACATGCTGTCCACTGCTTAGAGCAAAGGCGACTGGCCCTGCAGGCGTCCCTGGGGCCTCTGCCTCCTCCTGAGGACGATGTCCACCATCTTTTGCTGAGCTTTTTGTCCATGGGTGTCTTCCATGTCTAGATTTTTCCCGTATTATTTATAACAGTTTTCCATTACTTTTCAGAGGAAGAGAGAACACATGAGAGAGCACCCCCAACAGGACGGTCATGCCACAACCCCTTCTCCCCTCTCCTTCAGGATTCGGGTGTGCACATACACACCTGGCATTTTTCTCGTGCATGCTACCGGGTCTGGGCCTCAAACCACACTGGTCAGCTCTGTGGGATCCAGCTGCCTTCACCACTAGGCCACAGAGCCGGCCAGGGGTATTCCTTTTCTTTTTTTTTTTTTTTTTTTTTAAGGTCATTTGCCATAGGGCGCATGTCCATGCTGAAGAGAATAAGAGGGAGGAACTGAGAAGTCCCCCACAGGGGATGGCCACACAGTGTTCTCCCCTCCCGGGATTTTGGGCGTGCACACGTATGTACCCAGTGTGATTTCCAAGCCACCAGGTCTGAGACTCAAACTGTCGCAGAGGATGTGGGAGTCCAGTACCTTAACCATTACATCACCTGCTGGCCCCAAGGATGTTCTTTCTTAAGCCTTTTAGAAGTACACATTGGGGCCAGCAGGTGGCGTGGTGATTGGAGTGCTGGACTCCCACATGACTGACCGCAGTTTTGAGTCCCCGACCCGGCTGCTCACTTTCTCGCCTTTTCTTTCTCTGTCTCTCTCTCTCTCTCTCTCTCTCTCTCTCTCTCTGGTGAGCATGTGCGCCCTGTGGCAAATTGAATAATGAGGAGGATAAATAAATATTTTTTAAAAAAGCAAACACATGGGCTAGCCGGCGGCGTGGTGCTTAGGGGGCTAGATCCCACATGACTGGCCGTGCATGTCGAGGCCTGGACCTCCATGCTTGAGAAGTGGTGTTGGTGCAAGTGCATGGGTACCCACGTCCCTAGGGGAGGGAGAGACGAGAAACAGTTGCGGCCCGACCTCGTGGGGTGCTTCCTCTTCTCCCTCCCTGCTCTGTCTCTCTGGCAAGCGCACACACCTAGCAAAAACAAAGAACACCTTGAGAAGGACGCCGGCTTGTAGACGGTCTCTCCGCCAGGAGTAGGTTTAGGGGCTGCGCGCAGCACCACCGACTCCACAGGGCTGGGCACCTGGCCCCTCTTGCCTCTGCCCCTGCCCGGCTGCATGGGCCCGGCCCGGCTGTTGGCCCTACAGCTGCATACCGTGCCATCTCCACAGGAGGATGGGGATTGGTGTTGAGGGCCCACGCGTGCGTTTGCCAGAGTCACGCTGTGGGTGTGGCTTCGCTTACTCTCATGCCGCTTTGTCGACCGAGGTATGTGACATGTTCTCTGCTTTCCCAGAGTGGCTGCACTCGCCGCTCCGACCCCCTGCCTGGGCGTCCAGCACCCTTCTCCCCTTTCCTGTGCACACATCACTTCTCGCCAGCCACAGCTCACTTCAGTGGGGCATCCCTGAGCCCTCCACTCGGGTGCCACCTGCCTGTGCGTGACCGTGACACCGAGCTCTGGCCTCGTGCTGCGCCTCACCACGTAGTCACTGTCTCTAGAGCCCGGTTAGTCATGGCCCGGTTAGGTCAGGGACCTGTGGTGGTCCTGGCCTGCAGCGTGAGCTCCGTCCGCCCTGGCTAGTGAGGCCTTCCCCGTGAATCAGCACACCATGGCGGCACCTGACGCTCAGACGGATTCTGCATCCCCGGCCCACCCCAGGTAGACCTGTTGTGGAGAACCCACTTTCGGAAAGTTATCAAGCTGTAATCTTAGTGGTGGTTCATTTCAGAATATTTCAAACCGTTTCTGCCTTTTATATTCGAAATCTCATTTATCCGTTTTTTTAACAGTCTTCAGGACGGTTGCAGGCATGAGGCCTTCCTGTGACCAGTGACGCTTTAACTTGCTGACTCGCCCTGGAGGGCCAAGAGATAGGCTCCTCCCGTCTACAGAATGGCGTCACAGTTGCCAAGCGCTTTGCTGTGCTTTTATTTGAAAAGTTCTTGAAAGGAAGAATTTAGAAAACGTGATAAAACACAGCTTTGTGTGTGTGTTTATGCTTTACTCACAGGAGAAATACGAATGTGCTTTAAAGCGAGCAAGTATTAAAATCGTGACTCCTGACTGGGTCCTGGACTGCATATCTGAGAAAAGCAAAAAGGATGAAGCATTTTATCACCCTCGTCTGATTATTTATGAAGAGGAGGAAGAGGAGGAGGAGGAGGAGGAGGAGGCAGAGAACGAGGAGCAAGACTCTCCGAATGAGGGCAGCTCGGACGAGAAGTCGAGCCCTGCCAGCTCTCCCGAGGCGTCCCCTCCCGGTGACCAGCCGTTTTCTCCCAAGTCGCACGCGGAGAAGTCTAAAGGGGAGCTGATGTTTGACGATTCTTCAGATTCTTCGCCCGAGAAGCAGGAGAGGAACTTGAACTGGACCCCTGCCGAGGTACCCCAGTCGGCTGTGGCAAAGCGCAGGCTGCCTCCGGGGAAGGAGCCTGGGCTGATCAACCTGTGTGCCAACGTGCCGCCTGTACCTGGCAGCATTCTGCCCCCGGACGTCAGGGGTGGGCTGGTGGCTTCCGGGCAAAGCCTGCCGGGCCCCGAGCGGCCCGACATGGTCGCCGCGTGGAGCCCGGCCGTGCGGACGTTGAGGAACATCACGAACAATGCCGACGTCCAGCAGATGAGCCGGCCGGCCAGCGTCGCACACGTAAGTCCGCCTGGAGAGCGGAGTGGTGGTGTGGGTTTAGGGCCACTCGGTCCGCTCTGGCGTGGTTTGCCGTGTGCTCCTGCTGCTTCAGCCCGAGTCCCGCAGAGCAGTGCTGTGGGAGTCCTTGTCGCAGTCATGTACAGGCCTGTGTGACATCGCTGTCACGAGGTCTGCTGTTAGAGGGGTGGGTGCCCTGTCGGAAAGTTATCAAGCTGTAATCTTAGTGGTGGTTCATTTCAGAATATTTCAAACCGTTTCTGCCTTTTATATTCGAAATCTCATTTATCCGTTTTTTTAACAGTCTTCAGGACGGTTGCAGGCATGAGGCCTTCCTGTGACCAGTGACGCTTTAACTTGCTGACTCGCCCTGGAGGGCCAAGAGATAGGCTCCTCCCGTCTACAGAATGGCGTCACAGTTGCCAAGCGCTTTGCTGTGCTTTTATTTGAAAAGTTCTTGAAAGGAAGAATTTAGAAAACGTGATAAAACACAGCTTTGTGTGTGTGTTTATGCTTTACTCACAGGAGAAATACGAATGTGCTTTAAAGCGAGCAAGTATTAAAATCGTGACTCCTGACTGGGTCCTGGACTGCATATCTGAGAAAAGCAAAAAGGATGAAGCATTTTATCACCCTCGTCTGATTATTTATGAAGAGGAGGAAGAGGAGGAGGAGGAGGAGGAGGAGGCAGAGAACGAGGAGCAAGACTCTCCGAATGAGGGCAGCTCGGACGAGAAGTCGAGCCCTGCCAGCTCTCCCGAGGCGTCCCCTCCCGGTGACCAGCCGTTTTCTCCCAAGTCGCACGCGGAGAAGTCTAAAGGGGAGCTGATGTTTGACGATTCTTCAGATTCTTCGCCCGAGAAGCAGGAGAGGAACTTGAACTGGACCCCTGCCGAGGTACCCCAGTCGGCTGTGGCAAAGCGCAGGCTGCCTCCGGGGAAGGAGCCTGGGCTGATCAACCTGTGTGCCAACGTGCCGCCTGTACCTGGCAGCATTCTGCCCCCGGACGTCAGGGGTGGGCTGGTGGCTTCCGGGCAAAGCCTGCCGGGCCCCGAGCGGCCCGACATGGTCGCCGCGTGGAGCCCGGCCGTGCGGACGTTGAGGAACATCACGAACAATGCCGACGTCCAGCAGATGAGCCGGCCGGCCAGCGTCGCACACGTAAGTCCGCCTGGAGAGCGGAGTGGTGGTGTGGGTTTAGGGCCACTCGGTCCGCTCTGGCGTGGTTTGCCGTGTGCTCCTGCTGCTTCAGCCCGAGTCCCGCAGAGCAGTGCTGTGGGAGTCCTTGTCGCAGTCATGTACAGGCCTGTGTGACATCGCTGTCACGAGGTCTGCTGTTAGAGGGGTGGGTGCCCTGTGCTCGCAGCCACTGCAGCGGAGGACTGGATGCCGTGTGGATGGAACCGTCCCTGAAGAAGGGCTGTTGCTCTCAGTTCATGTGGCCGTGGCAGCGATAGTGGGGTGCGCAGTGAGCTGCAGCAGCTCTTGATCTGCCGTGGCTCCACGGTCCCTACGTGTCCAGGTGGTCAGCTACTGAGGGCATCCTGATTTCAGCGAGCCGTTTGGATGTGGAGCTGGCTCGTACCATGTGGACCTTCAGAGGTTCCGTGGACGTTTTCATCTCAGACACAAGGTGGCTGCGGTGGCCACGTGCCATTTTTCTGGGCTTGAAGTAAATTGTGACTAAGACAGGCAGGCTCAGGCAGAGGAGGCGGCCGTGAGCAGAGAGCTGAGACAGGAAGGGGTGCAGTGGTCACCAGTGCTGCAGGCAGGGTAAGGGCCCCGACACCACAGGTGGGGACAAAGGCTGTTCCAGCTCGGGGCTCAGGGCTGGCCGTGGAGGAGGTGGGGAGTCCAGGCTGAATGGTGTGGCCCAGGATGGAGCCAGGCAGAGCCAGAGGAGAGGGACAGCAGGCGGAAGCTGGGTGTGGGTGGGGCTTGCCAGGCTCTGGGAGGAGAAGCAGACAGCTGGGCCGGGGCGGGGGGGAGTACGAGTGCCGGGGGGACCAACACGCCGCCCCTGCGCAGCTAGGCTGGGGATCAGCCTGACCTTCCAGGGAAGCCTCTGGACTTTGTGTTGGGGTGCCCAGACGTGAGAGCAGAGTGGAGGGCAGACTCAGAGCCAGAGGGCTTCCTGGGAGATAGGCAGCAGAGCAGAGGGCAGTCCAGGGTAGCTGGCAGGTGATGGCCTGGAGCCCCGGCACACAGACATGGGCCAGACGGAGCGTGGTCCCTGGTGGCCTCGGCCGAGCCTGCCCTTCTCTTCTAAGAGTTGGGTCAGCTGTGGGTGCACCCCGTCTCCAGCTCTTCTTCCTGAGCCCAGGTAGATCAGCTCTCAGTCCCTTCCTGTCGCAGCCAACCCCTCAGCCTGACCACACCCGACAGCAAACCCAGCTACGTCCTCTTGACCACTCTGAGGGGGACAGTCACCGGGCCCCATGTTTGTGCAGGTGCTTGGTCCCTTCCAGGGCTCCCCATTGACCCGGGGTTGGTGGCCGCTGAACACGAAGCTGCATGTGGTGACCCCTGCCCTGCTGGCGGGACGGCAGTGGCTGTCTCCTGCCACCCTCGGTTCAGGGCTGAGGGAGACAGTGCAGGGACCTCCCACCCGCCCCGGCATGCTCACGGAGGGCTCCCGTGCCGCGCGTCCGCCCCGAGTATGGCAGCACGTGGTGCTCGGCAGGCCGCGCCCCCGGGGCACGTCGAGGAGCAGCAGCCGCCCTGTCACTACGCTCGTAAGAGGCGTTCTCGGAGATGCTGGACGGGCGTTTCAGGCAGGGGTGCTTGTGCACGGCTGTCTGCTTGTTCCCGTTTTAAACTCTCTACCCCTAAACTCTAAACCCAGAGCACGCCACCCTCGCCTTTGAGAGCCTAAGTGAAAGCCTCTTGTGAAGTCCCGTTCGAGGCGTTGGTGTCGCTCTGGGTGTGACCGCGGGATGGGGTGGCACAGGCCTGTCCAGCTTCCTGGGACCCCGGGGCAGGAGGGACGCCTGGCAGCAACGCAGTGGCCCGGGCAGCAAGGTCTCTTAATGGTTTTCTGTTAATTCGTAGAGTTTTTCCTAAATGATAAACGTACACCATTTATATGAGTCTTTGGCAGGGCTAAGTCATACTTACTGAGTTTTAGTAAAACCTGCTCGGACTGGCTTCCACGACTGAGTGAAGTAGGTTGTGAGCTGTGCCGGTGCGTGTGGGACAGAGTCCACACACGGCGTGTTGCTTTTACCCTCTCAGCCTGGGTGGGGCAATGGGGTGCTGGTGCAGGTTTCACAGTGCAGGTCCTCCTGCCTTCCTCGGGGGACCCTCACTTGGGGACCTCCTTTATCTGCACTCAGCAGGAGGAGGAAATGGAAAGTGGCAGCTTGGAAAGGTCTGGGAGGGGCTGAGCCTGATCCAGTGGCCTTCACTGCCTGCCTCCGCTCCGCGGTCCCTGGTCTGGGAGGGTCTGCAGAGCTGCTAGGAAGGCGACAGGGCCAGAGCGGCACCACGGGCACTTGCTACACGTGGCTGGCAGCACCTCGCTCACTCCCAAAGGCCCGGCCCTCATTGGCTCTGCTGGCCTGTCACTCCGCATGTTAATCCGCTTCTAGTTTGTCAGCCTGTTCCGTTCTGCTTCCGTGGTATCAAATTCGGTGGTCTCAACCATGGGCTTGTTTCTCAGCTCGTTGAGGTTGACGGTCCAGAGCAGACAGAGAAGTGCACCATGCGCGAGGTTCCCAGTCACTCAAAGCTTCTTCTGATAGCCAAGCCCCAGCCCGGGAGCACGGGGCTGCTGTCTGTCCAGGGGCTGCTGCAAGCGGTGCGGTAACGGCTGTGCCCCCTTGTTTTCTAGATCTTGCAGTCCCTCTCAGCACCTACGAAACACCTGGACCAGCAGGTGAACCACAGCCAGCAAGGGCACGGCAACGCCGGCGCAGTGCTGTTCAGCCAGGCCAGGGGGGCCCCGGACGCCCAC